GGGTGGGGGGGACGAACCGCTCTGGTAGAATGCTATTTAAAAAGACGCTGTGATATATCGCTCTATCTTTCTATCAATAACGCAAGACCGCGTGGTGGTGGCTTGGGCTTAGGTCGCTGTGTCGCACATGGAACGCTGTGTAGAGGGAGGAGACCAACCTGAGACGGGAAGGCTTGATGTCACAAAGAAGTTGCTATCATGACAAGTCACTGTGGGCCCAAGTCAACAGAATAGCGGCTTAGTCACGTCTTGAAATGTTAATATGATAACGGGTTAACCCTCCGCGAGGAATGAACTACTCATGTTAGACCCGCAGCCATCGAAGCCGCGGGCATACTTTGGCTGTTGACACAGTTGACTGCCCCAACAGTAGCAAAACGAGAAACCTACGCAATTGATTGTTGCAAGTATGGCGTAGCACGCACATACCAGCATACTTTGGGCCGCTTTTACGCGGGGAGGGGACAAATAATGGTTTCACTACCTTTGGAGGCATATTCCTTTCACTCGCGCCCCCCCCCCCCCCCATCCGTCCTTACCACTGAGGCAAATCACGCAGTTAAAATGCAAAAAGAAACAGCTATGAAATCAATATACTCAATCAGCTTTTCTCGTTCCTATTAGTGTGCTGGTAAGTGGTTTAGTCACCTCTCTGATCGATCACACATTCAGAAGACGATTCTCGCATGCTTTGTTCCCGATCCAGTGGTGTCGCTGCACATGCCGCCTTTTTCAGTTGACCCCTCGTTTTTGGTGTTTGATTTCCTTAATATGTGGCTTAATACAACAGCGTGCATTCCATTTACAGATCAGTCCCGATCCAGTGAAACGAAGCTTTGAAAGGCATGATGTGAACGCTTCGGGTCAGTTATCGCCCCATAAGGACTGCTTTCCCGGCCTCCGGATCGAAAAGCACCCTTTCCCAATATGCCGCATCTGGTCCTATGTGCTGTTATTACTGCTGTATCTGGCAACGCACAGTCGCAACGAAAACCAACCAAGTTGGTGTTAGTGATAATACCACTAACGACCTTGAAATAACGGTCCCTGTACGGAACAGTATTGCTTGAATCATATCCCAATGGCGCCGAACACCAACGACCGTAGGAATTCCGCGAGCTGTCCCCTGTTCCGTCGCTGCCACTGCTACGTACATTCCCTCCGAAAATACCATTTTACCGACTGTCCACTGTACGCTGAGGATGCTTGTAGTCGCTGCGACCATAAGTACGAAGCAACGAGCCGTGAGCAAATCTATGCTGGCGATTCTTGACCTTAAAACCCGTATTGTTTATACTTGTTCACGAATGTGGGCACGTTAGGCCTATTCATATCTTAAAAATTTCTGAAATTTAGTGAATACATCATTGCACATCGTGTCAATCAGATCTGTGCGCGATTGGCTACGTAATACGGCAAAAGCTTTGATTCTTGGAGCGATTCACACCTGGTTTTGGTGTTGATGTGTAGCCGCAAAAGGATGCTTAGTAACGACGCTGCTCTTGTTTTTTTCTCTTATTGCTGCACGGCGCGGGTGATGTGATGACAGAAGTGGCTGCTACCAACATGCATATGATGGCAAGGCGTAAACAGGTGGGGCCGGTTCCACACGAGATTACCGCCTTTGAGCTTGCAGTGCACTTGTGCTTAAACTCCTACGCGCATTAAAAACGACATTGCTCGAAATATTGTGGGTTCTTATGAAGACAGGGATTCACGTTTCATACTTTTATTAGACTTGGAAAGAGACGGTTGAAGGAAAACATTAAGCAATGATACAAGTTGACCGAAAGTATTCACCACTTCTAGCGGTGCTCATGACCACCCATTGCTATGAGCACACCTGGAACGTTCAGTATTTCTGTGTTAAACTGAAACGATTGATTGCTCGATATTTTTGTTTAGACGAGGCACTCACTGTACCAAATGTCGGTCACTTTCATCGTAAGAACTCACAATGCCAGACTATCGGGGCGCTATCGCTTTTTACCATATAAAGCGCTTTTAAATGTATTCTAGCTCTATTCTTTGCTTGACGAAGACTACTCTTGTCGGCTGAATAAGCTATGAATCTGGAATTATTTGCTTTTTGGCGACTGTTCTCAGAGCATTCAGAAACAGGCAAATGTTTTGTGTAGTAATCCTGATAATACGACAGCAGGGTTTCTAAGGCTTTATTAATGCTTTATTTGTTTAGGCCTCTTGATGTCATTCTCTGCGCCGACCTCGTAAAATGTAACCCCTTTTTGTTTAGGCCCCTTGGTGTTTTTTTTTCTTCTGGGCCGACTTAGGCAAATGTGGCAATGACCATTCCCGGGCCATTACCTGCACTCGTGTGCGTCGGAAAGCATTGACACGGTTTAGTGATGTGTAAGCGGTGCGTTTATCTACACTGCGCAGTTGATTTTAGTTTTATCCGCTTGAGTCAACGATGACGTTTGATAATACGCTTGAATGTGTACACTGAACGAGAGCTGAGGTGCTAGAGCTGCTGGAGAGCCAACGTGCGTCACCATGTGTCATCCTGCGTCGTACGAACCCTCCCTGTACCCCGACACCGCCTCACAGAGGGCGAGTGGGGGCAGACCAGCGGGAAACATGTTCACCAGGCGCCTGATGAGCACGACAGACGACCAGCTCCAGACAAGGACTCGTGAAACCAGCTGTGAAATCGGCACGCACGTGCTGCGCAAAGCAATCGTGGAAGTGCTTAACTTGCAAAAGAGTACGACTGGCTGACAAATGTGAGGTCGAAGCCCTGAACTATCAAATGTATCCCGGTTTCCGAGAAATGTAGGTTGCGTTTTGTGACTTCTGCTTTTGTACTGTAGAAAAAATCAACTGGTATGGGGGCTTAGTTGTGCTTCAAAAGTATATCTCACAGCCGTTATGGCGCATTGGTCAAGCTTTTGTCGTGCAGAAAAAATTAACTGGTATGGGGGCTTAGTTGTGCTCCAAAAGTATACCTCACAGCCGTTATGGCGCATTGGTCAAGGCCGTTCTCAAGTCCATAAAATCTCTAAGCAGTAATGTTTGTTTATAATAAATGTCCTTATGCTTGCATCTGAATACCGCAAGTGTGCCTTCATGTGAGCCATCTTCATTCACGTCAGAATCAACAAGTGATCACCTGTTTTCACATACGAAAACCCAGTCATTGCTAAGAAAATCACCTTACAGATCTGCCTCACGCATCACCCGGAATCCCCAATTTTGTGTAATGGACCTCCGTGTGAGAATTGCATGCTAGCACGGGGCATACCTACGACGTGCCTGGACCGGCAGCTGCTTAGTATCGCGGTAATTCATATATCTACCCTCACGCGTGACTTCCCCACCGCTTGCCTTATGCCCCTCGGTTGGTGGCAAAGGAACGAAGCGACCGGCCGAAATCCTTGGCAGATATCTGCTTTCCCCGTTTTAGCACAGACTGACTGCAATCCGACATGGGAGAGGAATCAGCAGAACACATCCAATTAGCGTGTAATTGGTACGCCATTTCCGCGTCTCACTGCGTCAAAACATGGGAGAACAGTCAGTAGTGAAATTCTGCAACGAGTGCGACAGTCATTCGCCATTTTCACGTGCCATTAATCTCGTTCACAGCATATTTCCTGCAGATCCTCGCCCTGTGATTTAGAAAATGTGTCCGCGGACGGGCGGACGGCGCGGTGGGCGCTCACCTGGGCTCCATCCCATTGTCGCTTGCTCCGTCACCCATGCATTCTGGCAACACGCAGTCAGATTTCGCCAGCCGGTGTGCGTGGGACGCGGGCAGCTGGCGCCCGCCTCCTTCGATCGCCGGGGTTGCCGGATTTTATGGCTGGCCGCTGACGGTGAGATAACAAACTGACGCGTAGGAGGCGGCCTACGGCCCGTCCACCCGTCCCCGGCCCGCCGCGCACGTGCGGACCACCAGCGGAGCCGCCTCGCTGCGCCGCCACGCGCCGCGGAACCCGCGGAAGCGGGCGACGCGTCGTGGCGGGGGTCCGCCGCGGCACCCCGCCGCGGAACGGAGGCCGTGTCGCACCGCCGGCGGAGGAGGGAGCCGAGGCTGGCGACCCAGCGTCGACAGGCAATTGTGTAGGCCCGGGTACGGCTGGCCATAAAATCGGGCGAATCCACGGGATCGGATTTGCCCGCAGGGCGCAGGGGGGCCTCACGTGCACATCATTACAGAGCGTGGACGGAAGGGCGTTTCTGAGGAGGCGGGGAGGTGGGGAGTCCCGGGGAGGCGGGAGGTGGGGAGTCCCGAGAGGCGGTTCGCACCGGGATGCGGACGCCCACAGGTCGACCGCTGCGGTTCGGGGCCGATTTCCCCGTGTTAACTGGACCGGAACGCCAGCTCGCTTTCGTCGCCGGCGTACTCTGCTGGCGCCGTCACGCCCCCCTCCCCCTCCCGCACAGGTGGCCGCCAGGAGACAAACGTGCTGCCGAGCTGGCGCAGCTAAAAGGCCGCCACCGGAGCCGCGGCAGCTCGGCCGCGCTCATTAGGCCCACAGATCGTTATAAATGGGACTGTTCTCGAGCCAAATGGCCGGCGTGGCCGGCCGCGACCGCTGCACGGACTCGCAGACCTGAGGCGAACTGTCTGGTCTGCGGTCGAGGCGCACGGCAGCTGTGGTCGCCGCCGCGGCGACGGCGGCGGCGGCGACGACGGCGGCGGCAGCGACAGCGGCGGCGCCCGCGCGGCGTCGCTGACACACTAACTCAGTGAGCGGCGGCGGTAATAGGCTCCACGCTCGTCGGCCGTAACAGGCGGCGAAACCGGCGCGCGGCCGCGCGGCAGTGGCGCGGCGGGCACCGTTGTGACCGGCAGACGGAGGCGCGGCGGCCATCTGCCGCTGCGCCGCTGACCCAGCTCCACGCTGGCCGCCCTAGTCGCCGAGCTGCCGCCGCCACCGCCGGACGCTGCTCCGGACGCCCACGCGAGTGACCGACGCGGTGCGGCGCTAAGGCGCGACGATGTTGGACAACAGGTGCGCTCCTGGTGGCGCGCCATGAGCGCGCGCATCTCCGAGTGGGCCGTGCTGCAGGACCTGCAGCCCAGCCGGCGCGCACGCAGCCTGCAGCGCAAGCGCGGCAGCACGCGCAGCACCGGTAGCACGCGCAGCACGCGCTCGCACGGCGACGCGCTGCGCGATGAGGCGAGCACGGCGGACGCGGGCGCGCTGCGGCCGCGCTCGGCGACGCGGCTCTCCATCCACGACATCAGCCGGCTGCCGGCGCTCGGCGACGACTCGGCCGTGGGCGCCGTCAGCCGCTCCATCCCCGACCTGTCGACGCACGACGTGTCGCGGCGCGGCATCCATCTGCCGCAGCCACAGTTCGAGCTGCACGGCGAGGTGACGCTGACGCCGCACGTGACGCTGTCGCGGCCGAGCACGCCGGGCCCTGGCGCGCGTGACGGCGGCGGTCCCAGTCGCCAGCCGTCGCTGCACCGACACCGCGCTTCGACCGTGCTCGAGGAGCTTCGCAGCCAGCCCGGCTCTGCCGGCGACACGGAGCGCAGCGGCCCATCCACCGGCGACGGCACCCTCAGCACGCTCCGCACCTCGTGGACGTCCGTGGCCGTGCCGCTCGGCACGTCGCGACGCTGGAAAATCCGTCCCCAGGTGAGTCGCGCGCCCCCCTCCCCACGCCCAGCCCTCCTCGCGAAGCGATCGAGCGGCGGAGGCTCGACGGCGAGACAGCCCACCTTGTTTGCCGGCTTGACGTGGAGCTCGGGCCCGGTGACTGGGTATACGTGCGATGGCCGTTTAGCAGAGACAGATCTTGTTAGACTGTCAGGACGGTTGTGCGTCACGCTCGCTCACGTCGCCGTTGATAACCGTGCCGCTTTCAGGATTTTTGGTGTCACCGGAATTGTGTAGCCGAATGTCTGGTCAAAGCGGACATCCGGGAAAGAGTGTGGCGAGCACTGCAGGCGTTGGGCTGTGCAGCACGATCTGCAGATTGGCAGCAGTCTACTGTGTGGTTATTGACGGTGACTGCTGCGATGTACTGCATTGTTTAGATGTGACGTTATGTGACGTCATGACGGCTACATATGTGATGATCATGCAGTCCGCGGCATCTACAAAGAGAACATGGGAAGGCGTTTTTGCTTTCGCTGAGGCGAAATATTTTGCTAGCCTCATCCATCACAAAAACACAATACACGTCATAGATTCAGCATGACAATGTTGTGTGACCCACTGATGTACTACTTGACATCAATGCATTAGGAAGAGTTGGTACAAATGTCTACTGCGGGTAGAACATCAGTGTAAGTTAGGCCATGTTAGGCTAGGCTAAAAATTGGAAAAAGAAAGGCGCTAGCAACTGTTGCCACAAAGATATTGTGCTGCCCTTCAGGCTCAAACCATTCAGCCGTAAGCACTAGCGTGTTTCTCCTCACCAGACAACTCGAGTAGTCACTATAATATGCCGGCCTTGGCCGTTGTCATCAGGCTTTATCCAGCTAGCTGTAATTCATTAGCGCGAGTTGTGTGCTCTACATCAGCGTAAGCTTAATATTGCGTGACAGACAACAGCATGTTCTTCGCACCCTGGTCTCCGAACCACATTTCGGTAATGAGAGTTTACTCAGATGTTTGAAAAGCCAGGTTTACGTAGGAGTGTGGCTCTAATCCGTATTCATGAAGGCCATTCGTATTCCCGGCGGCCTCAGTTACTGAACTGGTTGCAATGCCAGGTAAGTTACCTCGGCTACGAGAACCTACAACGCCGGAGTTTGATAGCTGTTGGCAGCGGAAACAGACGCAGCAGCCCGCAACGCGAAAGTTTTAAGTGTTTACATCGACAACATCCAGCCCGCACCGACCCTGCCACCAATGCATCCGGGACGAGGCCAGCACCGCGGCCACGGCGCTGGTGGCCGATTTCGCGGCAGTCCAGCGAGACCCGCAGCGGCGCTGGGTCCGTGACGCGTCGCGTACGGCGCCAGCGCACCGCGACCCGAACGAAAGTGAGCGACACCGCGCGCCGCTGCAGGTCTGGGAGCCGGAGCGAGACGACTCGTAAGCGGGCCGCTCCGGCTCCGCCGGCTCCGTACGGCTTCGCATGGGCTCCGCCGACTCTGCCGGGCTCCGCATGGGCTCCGCGCCGCCCGGCGAGCCGCCCCGTTATCGGCACGCGGCGGCTTCGCTTGACGGTGCAGCTCGTGTGGCGTAGTGAGAGACGGTGACGTTGGAGACTGCGCGATCGAGGGCGCTGCGAGCTGCGGACAGGGGCAATGAGAGATAGGCCGTGTTTTTATCCCCAGTGGCCGCAAACGGATGTAATGCGCGCAGATGGAGTGATTAGTTTGACTTCGCTTGAAATTGCAGGAGTTTAATGAGACGTGAGCCGGAAGTGTTAACCCAGCTGCTAGCCGAAAGAGGTTGTCGCCTTTACGGTCTGTCAATGATGTGAACCAACTAAGTAAAACAATGCAGGATCAAAGTGAAACTCCTGAATTAACTCTAACTTTGAAACAATGCAGTGCTGACGTAAGCACTCGACATAATGGCTGATGGTAAACGTTTCTAGGGGCCACGATCATCAATGCGATAGTTAACACATGTTGATGTGGAGAGGTGTCGTCGCTTGAGCCGCGTGCCGTGCTTTATAGCCAACCGTTGTCGAGATCAGGCGAAATATTTCGAATACGCTAGTCAGTGGCAGGCGGTCGGTCTCACATCTCCAGCATTCGAATTTCCTGAGATGGTCTTGTGGAAGTGTATAGCACTCTTGTGGCTTTTGTGCGTTCTGAACCATTCTAGGAGGCCCTCCACTGGTTTAGAATTGTCAAATGGCGAATTGCATGCGTTCCTGATGCTAATTCAGGTCATAAAGATAAAGCGACATCAGGATAGGTTTCATGCATCTTAATGTGTTCTGGTTGTCATTGCGTAACGATTGCAACGATTGTAATCGTGATTGCCAATAAATAACGATTGTAACGATTGTAATGATAATTGCCATTGAATAACAAAGTAACGATTGCCATTGAAGTGCCTTCTATCCAGTGACTAGATCCTGTGGTAGCATAGGTCAAAAGGAACTCGCCCCAGGCAGTCGCGCTGCACTGACCTCCCCAGGAAGTGCCTATTTGTGGCGTTAAGACTGGTGCAAAAGGCCAGCTGGCGACTAGCCAAGTGAGCCCAGCGCGGGACATCCGCGGGAATTGAGCGACACGAGAAGGATCTCCTCGTGTCGTTCAATCCCCGGGGATGTCAGTCCCGCGGACGTTTTGCAAGTCTTGCCTGCTTCAAAACACGGGCGTCCGTTGGAATGGTGTCGCAGGGTTTGGATAATGTTTGAAAACTCAGCAAGTTTCGCGTGGCGTGCACGCTCAGACAGATGTTCCATGCTTCAATCGAAAAGTTCATTTAAAAAAGAATATTGTTGGTCTGTTGTTCGAGCCTTCCATTTTTCGGCATTAGTGGCCAAGTAACTTCAACTGGAAGAATGCGATTGTACCGCCCAAAGAACGGCTGGATATCGACTGTTTATTTGTTTTTATTTCTTCTGGAAACTGACAATCATATTACGGTTCGTGTCAAAGGAAGCTTGTGTTCTGTTGTTTCTGTTAATACTTTGTGGATGGCAACTGACCTCCAGCAGTTTACAGGCTTCTCATAATTGTCTTCAGATGAGGCCTTATAAGAGTTGAGTTGCACTGTGCGAGTTATGGCCACTTCTACAGAAATTTTCAAGAATTTCAGGGCTAGATAAGACTCGAACCGACATTTGCCGGGATACCTGGCCACGCTAAAATTGTGAGAACATCGTCTGCCCCATCCGTTCTTATGCTACGAATCCGACTCCATTGAAATGATTTCGTCGATGCAACGTGCTATGGATAGCATGAGTTACACGGCTCGGAATTTATTTCTCGGTTAATTTCAAGCAGCGCGTTTCAGCACATTTGCTCACACGTCGTTTGGTCTTTTACACATAGAGCTTGGTTCGAGTGTCTTGAGAATGTATTGTGGTCCCAACGCATCGCCACGCCACAAAAGTACACTTTTTTTTGAAAAAGTGCTCGTTGGACACTTGGCTGGTTCCGACAGGCTGAAGGGAGAAAGGAGACACCTTTAAGATGACATTAAAATGGTATTGACTGTTTGCCCCTATGTCCTAACATGAAGTCACCTATGGCCCACCGTGACCGAGAAGCGCGTCATTTTCGCTGCCTCAGCTACGGCCGCAACCGCCCGAGTTGCACGGAAATACATTTTTGGGGAATGCGTGTTTACCAGATTTGTGTGTCAGTAAGGCCACTACCTGACCTATGATGTCGTAATGGTCGCGGTTCCTTGTGTGTCAACGTGCTATGTGACGGCTGTGTAAAGACGATTCACCTACGCTGAGGTAAGATGTCAGCTAAGTGGTATCCCAGTATTTGGAACCTCTATGTCAGGTATGAATGCCTTCGGAGAACACTGAATTAAGAAACAATTTCTCGTTATATAAGACCTATGTTGCGTGGTCAGCATAATGCGAGCATGCGTGTGGTCACAACTTTGTACAATTTACAGTAGCAAAAAAGGACAGCTTCCTTAAAGTTGCACCGCTGAAAAAACACACAAACGCATTGGTCAAGCCGAATTTCCCTGCAACGGCGCAATTGGAACAAAATAGAGCTCTTCCAATTATATTAATCTGACAAGCATAACACTCTTAAATTGTGAGAGAGCTGCATATTAGAGATCAAGACCTCCGTCATAATTCCACGACTCGGGGTCGTACCGACAAGAGAACAGCGGAAAACGGACACTCGTGCAGGCAAGGTGTAGGTCGCTGTGTTTGGGCTGTCCGATGCACTGGCACGTGAACCACGGGTCCGGCCGTTCCAGCCGTTTTTACGGTCACATTTCCACATTTCCACATTTCATCACATTTCCCGGAACGGATCAGGTGAAGACGTGACACCAACGGCACGATGTAGGCCAATGTGCCACCTACAAAACACTGAAAGATCTCAGAACTATCCGATCAGCGGGTGCGTTAGCAGTAGACCGGGGAAAAGCCAATGTATTTTTTTCTTAAGTGGGCTCGAGGAGTAAACGCCTCGACGAAGCCGGTGGTAGTGTAGCTCGTGAAAACTTTACTGGCGTGCATTCAAGCTGACTGTGACTAAGATGCACCCAAAATATGCACGGTCACAATATTTCGACTAACAGGGTATATCACACAAACTAACTGATTTGTTTGCTGAAGTTGCCAAGCCTGGTCAGACAAACAACCAGCCGATTTTCAAGCAATAGGATTTGTCAATGGGCGTGCGAATGCTTCGTTGGTAAACCTCTGCCAAATTACCAGATTTCAATACCTTGATCAGAGCTATCTGTACGGTTCGCAACGGCGCAAGGATGAAGACCCTCGGGCTATTGCATCATCTACATGATGGTAGTTCGTGACTGGCGACCGCATCACCTTGCTCTTCTCGTACCGTCCAAGCTATCTTACTGGTCCGAGGATTTAGTCTAATCCCTTGACCAAAAAATGGCCTCAATTTCTGGTCATTTAGTCTTAAGTGCTCGTTAAGGGTGTGGAAAACGGCAGGGGTTCTCGGTCCAGGGGCTCGGCGGCCAGCCCAGAAAAAATAAAGGAACCTGTTCGCAGT